GCAGAACCAGAGAAAGAGCCTCATGGCGCTGATGCTGCCATTTCATCAGTACCAGAAACAACTCGTCCTGATGCCACAACCACAGCTGAACAAGGTCAACCGTCTGCGTGCACGTTATCAGGACAGGTAATACCATTTCCAACCTCATCCTATTTACTCTTTATTACTTGCAAGCATATATTCTCACCAAACTATTAATGTTCACAGGCCGTCGGTCCATGCCAGGATATTTGGGCCGAACTTTCTATTCTTCAACAAGATCTAGACGAAATATCCCCATTGCCTCAAAGGCTACATCTGTTTGATGCTGAAACTCAGCAAACCTTAACCACCTTCATCAACCTCATTAACACCCCAGTTGAAGAAATCATTCTCCACAAACCTGATGAAACCTTGGCCTGTCTTTCTGCTGTTGTAAACCTCTCCCCTAATCCTTTCAACCCCATTCAACTAAAGCAATTGGCCAAGATCATCACGGAATGGCCAACCCTTTCAGAGATGGTTCAGACTTGCTCGAAGGATATTCAAACCAATAAGGATTTCCTAAACGAAGCCCACACCATATCTACTTCACTCAAACTCAGCCAGCAAACCTCTGCAGCCATTCTTCAGCAACACTCAGCACTTGAACTTGAGGAAGCCAAACTCATGGCAGAACTTGCCTCTGTCCGGCAAAGAAAGGCTCATCTGCAGCAGCAACATGACTAGCTTAATCAAGAAGCAAGGATGATGCTCTCCCAAATTAGACATCGTTCTGCATCCATTCAGACAACTAAAGCTGAGTTGGACCAAGCCCAAGCCATGCTGGCAGATGCTCAATCAAAGTGGGGTGTTCTAGCCATTCTGTTCCCCAAATCCTAGGCTAGTTTATATATGTATTCTTTTGTATTGCACACCTAGGAATGATTTGGAAAGGTAGGAATGATTGCCTTTTTAATGATAAGATTGTTGATGGGCCTGAATTGGCTGAGACGGTGAAAGTGAGGGTTGCACTTTGCTGTAAGCAAAGTTATAGAGGCCTACAGTATTCAGTGGACGACATATTTTGGATTGGGGAAAGTTATTGGAGGTCTGCTGCGGGCCTTGTTGTAACTGTATTGAAGGATCAGGCTCAAGTCTCAATGGAGGTTGAAAGTTCAGGCTCAAGTTTCAATGGTGGCTGTATGGTCTGAAGTTTGTTCATGCTGCCTTGGAATTTCATCTGGTTGCCCTGTTATGTGGTTTTGTGAGGATGGGCTTGGAGTTACATTCTTATTGTTTTCCTTCTGTTTTTGTTTCTCTTCGTTGGTCTCCAACCTCCTCTTTGTTGATGTATCATTGACACCTTGTATGTGCTTTTTGTCTCCAAGGTTTATTGGACCTTTTGAGATTTTAGAGCGGATTGGGGAAGTGGCATACCATTTGGCCTTACCGCCACAACTTTCTGGGGTTCACAACATGTTCCATGTATCTATACTTAGGAAGTATGAACCCAACCCTTCACATGAACTTGATTGGGTCAACTTGAAGGTAGATGAGGATGCCTCATACGAAGAGCGATCGGTTCAAATTTTAGATGCCCAAGAACAAGTGTTGAGGGGCAAGACCATACCGTTGGTGAAGGTGTTGTGGATGCACCATGGGGTTGAGGAAACAACTTGGGAATGGGAGGCGGAAGTCTGCCCCAAGTATCCGGATTTATTTGAGAATGCTTAGTTTGTTCTAGATTGTAAATTTCTCTTGTGTTTGAGAATAAACAGTTGGAATTGTAAACCACTTGTTGTTATGATTGTTATTGTCTTTTAAACATGAGAACCGTTATAGGATTGTTACAATTGTTGTTGAACATATGCTTATGATTATCATACTAGGATTGTGGCTTTGGCCCATGGAAGAATTTTGATAATGATAGTGAAATGTTGCTGAGATTGAGATCTCCATGCTATAATTGATTTGTTGCTATTATGACTTGTTTTATTCTTGTTCTTTAGAGGTGTTGATGAGGGGTGTAACCAAATTTTGGGGGCAAAATTTCCTAAAACGGGAAGATTGTGATGTCCTGGGTCATGGGCTTAAATGGTATTGTGTAGTAGGGTAGCCCTAGAACCGTCTTCTCCCTCTCCCTACACACCTTCTCTCTTAGGTTTGATCTACTTAGAGTGTATTTCTACCCTAAGTCCTTTGTTAAAAAGATAGAGAGGGTCAAGGGCTTCCGTTTAATCTGAACAATCGTGGGTTTGGAGCACCTTGGTTAAGCGGTACAATGTACCTTGTGTGGACCGCTGGGTATATCAGGCCGCTGCATGTACTTGATCACAAACATCCCACAGTCGAAAGTGCTACAAATGAAATGTAACATTCAGTTTCTCGTAAAATATAAGCAGGTTCGTTAAATGAGTGATTCAGGAGTGAAGTCAATGTGACGCAGGGTTTGTGGATTACTCGTCCAGCTGTTGTAATGGCCTTTGTTCTAACATGCGGACCTCAAAGGTACGCATGTCTACAGCATATTCATTTCCAAACTGTAGTTGCAGTAAGGCATGCATTGTTTGAACCTGTTGCAGAATGAGACGGTTAGTTTATGTGAAGGATGTGACAGTGTGGAAGTAGATTTGTGAAATTCAGCATGACATACCAACATTTTTGCTGTGTTCAGCTTGTTGGTGTCCAGTGTGGCGGATGCCAATGAGTCAAATAGGTACGCCACACAGTTTACCATATCTATTTTTAGGCACACCCAATGTACTCCTCTATAATTGAAAGACATGTAAATCTACACATAAACACAAGTGAAGACATTGTTTAGAGGGCATGCGAACATGTACGCACTTTCATATTTACATTGACATTCAAGTAAATAGGATTGACATTCATATTACCGACGTTCATATTAAATCTACTCGCTTCAATGGGATGGAAATTCATATTACGTTCTGACATGCATCAAGTACCCCAGTATATCTGTCATGTCCAAAATATGATTTGACGATATTTTCATGGTTCAGAGGTTGAGTTTTTTGATTTGGTATCAAAGTCTGCATGTTTAGTGTGTAAAGTTCAGTCAGCCAAAGTTTTCTGAAAATATGTCTTCTGCAATACAAAACCGACCTAAAACACTTACTTACCGACACATATACTGGAAAGAACCACGCAGTATGCCTCCCGTCTTTGTGTACTTGCCGCTGTCCGTTAGTCAATTGAACCGCGACCAAGTTGATTGGCTGGAACATTGTAACAGACCAGGCAACTTGCGAAATAAGGTTTGCCATTTGTTTAAATGTAATACGAAATAACAATGTCCCTACATGGATATGTCCATCATGCAAATATAGTGGAAATAACATTGTCAGATGCCACGACTTACAGTGTCGGATAGCCATGCCCCTGGTTTCAGCGTGCGCATGTCACGTCGCGTAGCACATTCGCAAGGCATTTCATGCAGATTCATAGACACGACAATGTCCCTACATAAAACGTATACATCAACCAGTAAGAAGCAACCTACAGCCTAGTAAAACTTAAACGTATCTGGCTTAACTCTACGACATAAGATTAGTTTTTTCTGTTGTGCAACTATGACAGATATTCCTGATTCTACTAGGCTCCAATCCAATGAAGATTAGTTTTAAGTTTTTAAAAAACAAAATGAAAAGACAAAGTTTTAGATATTACAACTCATGACATGTCCAATAGTATTTGCTAAAATAATATGTGAAAATTGAAATGCTCATTTACAGGTCAGCAAGTTAAAAAAAAAGAAACACGTTTTTTACAAACTGGAGCCAACAATATCCCAAAATGATCAAAATGGAAAATGTAAGCAGAGTAGAAGAAAATAGGTAGGGAAAATTGCACTTCATTATAAGTTCTCAAAAAAATTTGCAAATCATTGGTAAACTTTATTAAGTTTCATAATTAAAATTATAAAGGTTTCCATGAATTTGTAAATATTTTTGTGAAAATATGAGTGGTTTGCAATTTTCCCAATAGGTACATGTGTGCAAGATAAGACCAAAAGAAGAAAACTTCAGGCAGGAAATTTAGCCACTGATCTTTCCGTAGCCCACTACATTAAATTCAAAGAGAATCCTACATGCGACATGGATAAACCCATCATAAACCCATCATAAACCCATCAAAATCAAAATCATAAACCCATCATAAACCCATCATAAACCCATCAAAATCATAGAGAATGAAAAATTAAAGAACTGATACCTACAAGAATCAAATAAACATAACACGACACATGAAAATTGTTTCAAACTTATTTCACAAATACTACGGAACAGGTTAATTGCGAGTACTAAACTCATCCGTACCTTTCATTGTTTCTGTCGTCAAGTACAGAGTCAACAACTTCGTCTTGGGCCGCTGATAAAACCTCTCTGCTCTCCAGTGTTATCAAGTCCTTCTATCAATATAAACAATCAAGTAACATCAACTCCTTCCTCTTCCTCTTCCTCTTCCTCTTCCTCTTCCTCTTCCTCTTCCTCTTCCTCTTCCTCTTCCTCTTCCTCTTCCTCTTCCTCTTCCTCTTCCTCTTCCTCTTCCTCTTCCTCTTCCTCTTCCTCTTCCTCTTCCTCTTCCTCTTCCTCTTCCTCTTCCTCTTCCTCTTCCTCTTCCTCTTCCTCTTCCTCTTCCTCTTCCTCTTCCTCTTCCTCTTCCTCTTCCTCTTCCTCTTCCTCTTCCTCTTCCTCTTCCTCTTCCTCTTCCTCTTCCTCTTCCTCTTCCTCTTCCTCTTCCTCTTCCTCTTCCTCTTCCTCTTCCTCTTCCTCTTCCTCTTCCTCTTCCTCTTCCTCTTCCTCTTCCTCTTCCTCTTCCTCTTCCTCTTCCTCTTCCTCTTCCTCTTCCTCTTCCTCTTCCTCTTCCTCTTCCTCTTCCTCTTCCTCTTCCTCTTCCTCTTCCTCTTCCTCTTCCTCTTCCCTTTCGTGTGGCTGTTACAATTTGTCCCGCTCCCAATGTTTGGGCAACCTTACCAGCAGAAGGATGCACATTGTCTGCTTCTCCTCGCATTGGTGGCAAGGTTTGCAAATCATCAAACGAAGATAAACTCTGTTTTGCAACGTTCTTCATGGACAGAAACTGAACTGAAAGAGATTTGCTTTCTTCGCTTGTGTATGTTTCCTCCAACGCAAGGCGACGGTTGTTGTGCATGTCCCCAACTTCTTGGACGGTACGCAACTGTCCAACGTGCATATCAATTATCTCATTGGACAACATTCCATTCACATAATTGTCCTCCCAATCCACCCCCTGTAAATCTTGAACATTACCCTCATTTGGGCTACCATAATAATTTGGGAAGACCATGCCGCCATCATGCAACTCGACTCCCATGGTAGGGTCAACACCCTTTTCCTTTGAGCGAGGCAATTGTGCTGTTTCCGATAAACCTGCCAGCACTTGCTGCATCATTTGCCTCATTTCAGCAATATGTGCCTGTTCAGTAAACGGTTGTTTCCCAGACAATATAGCTGTAACCAGTTCGTTCAGCATTCCTTTCAGTTCACCAATGCTGGAGGATATGTTAATGTTACAATTTCTTTCAGTCGACTCCACCTAATCACACAAACACATACATTAACCTGGTACGATATTTCATCTTCAAGTAACCTCTGTGAACTATGTGAAGCATGTGTACTGATTGCTTTTGCTTACCTTTGCATTGTCAACAGGTTCCTTCCCTCGGAAATTGAGCAACATGTCCCTTATTTCCGCATTGCTGTGAAGCACTTGCTTCATGGTTTCTTTCAGTTCACCAATGTCGGTCTCAACCTTGCTCAAACGAACATCATCAATCCGTGGTTTCTGTTTGTTATTAACATGGTGTGTGTCAATTGCGTCATCAATGTTGTTGCTTTCCGCTTTTGTTGGATGAAACTCCACCTAACATAGTTGTCAAATCGGGATTCAAATCATAAATGAAAATGGTAATACACTGAATCGTTAATCGATCTCAACTGTGAATCGTAAAGTTTCGGTCTTCTTTCTTAAGTTGCACACAACATATGTGTACACACTTTACATATTAAATATATCTAATAAAAATTAATTACTCCATTCGTCTGAAATGAAAAAAAAAATTGTTGTAAATGATGCTCATCTGGTGTGGATAAAAACTTCACAGTCGATCCCATGTTTACCACTTTATCTTTTCCCAATTACATAAACAAAGAGAAACTTTCAATTACAAACTAACTAACAATAACTGAACGACAATGTTTGACCTTTTTACAAGGTTAAAAAACCAAAATCTTCAAGCTTTTCCAAAAATCTGACTTCAGGGCTTAACGAAAATTCATTTCGTAACGGAAGTAGTACATAAAATTGAATTTGTAAGGCTATAACATCGTCCACATGGAAACTTCATGTTTTCCCCCCAAAAGTTCGAGTATTTCAGAGTAAATAGGGAGGGACAAACTGAAAATATGATGTACGCTAAGGAATGGGTCACTGTTTGTCACTGCTTGTCACCTAGTCATAGGAACACAAATTCTGTCTGTTACCGTTATCCATAACACAGGTGGGGCAATACTGTCAAATGTGCAGAACGAATTTGTTGATTACCTCATGTTGCTGCAACATTTGCTTCCTTCCCATAAGTCGCCTCGTCTCCCGTATTTCGGCATCACCCCAATCATTTAGCCAAGGGATGGAGCGTGTAGTCGCCGACGTACTTACAGGGAGGGGCAAAACGATCCAAGTAAAATAGCTGCATTGTAAGGGGGAAAAGATATTTACTATACACTTCCGAGCAAACTAATCCGTATTCGCTAACAATGCATTCAACTTACAACACAATCATATATATGTGTTTATGTGTCTCGATGGCAGAATCCCCATGCAGCTTTCCGGTTAAAAAGATAAGCTTTTCGTGGTTACAAAAAATGTGGCCCGTACAGGTATATTTGTCATGCTGTTCAATAACAGGTAAGTTTGTATTTCGCAACGAGGCCATTTTATTGAACCATATGCACAGCAATGGATGAAATATGTAATCGGCATGGTACAAACAAACAACGGTCGATTACGTTACCATTAGAAGGAAAACACATCCAGTTGCCTCGCGCTGAACTTTCATCTTATACTTCCGAACACCTTTCACAAGGAATTGCAGTGTCACCTTTGCCCAATTACATGCCCCCATACCGGTCACGTCCTTCACGGCATGAACAAACGACAGGCTCAACGCGGTCATTGTGGTAGGACACAACATGGCCCCCAACACGTACAGCGCAAACTTCCGCCGAAACTCGTCATCCGCACCATCACTCTCAGTCAGATAAACTCTCAACTGGTTCAAAGGAATGATTCCTTTAACAGCTCCAACCTCTTCGTAGATATTGGGATATGCGTCTATTGAACCAGTGAACTGCACGTCATTGCCTTCTGACCGTATACCCAATAAGACATGCACTTCCTCACAGGTGAGCCTCAGGTGACGGCCATGAACAGTCAACGAACACGTGTCGGGATCGAAGTTCTGTACCAACCATTGGCACATGTTGTGATCTATACGGGTACACTTTAACCCCAGGAGGCCACCGAACCCAATATCAATGACTGCCTGCTTTTGTGCTTCGTTACACCGGTTCACGATATCAAAAATTGCCTTCAATGATATGCGGACTTGCATTTTACTCTGCAATGTGATTAACGTGAACATTAATACAAAAAAGTAACCAACATTGTGTCGATAGCAGGTCCTCCCCAAATGCAGTTACGAAAACGCTAAGCACGTAAGTACCTTTGCAGATTTCTTTGCAACTTCTTCGCACAGTTCCTTGGCACTTGCCTTAGCCATGTCCTGAAACCTCTTCTTCTCATCACAGGAGAGTTCCTTCCACCTTTCCCAATATCCTTTCGGCTCTGTAAGTGTTACACCAACGTGACGCACATACAGGACAAATAGGAGCTGTAAGTCCAAAATAATTGTCACCAAAAGTTGTATCACTCGCAATGTGTGCACATTTTCTGGTATTTACATATGTTTGCACATACAAATTACTATTTCGCACACAGTTGAAATAAAAACGGACATGGAATTTTACAAATAATCGGAGTTTATAAGAACATGTAATATGGCGTCTATGATTGCTGGAAATCGCTGAATGTGACACAATAGAAGCACATGATTGGTGTGCGCATGGAATAAAAGTCCATACTTTGCTATCATAGCAGTCACGTGTTTCCATCACGGTACTCTACTTACTACATGTCTGCACACTAACCATATTCGGTCCGGGGTTGTCTGCTTCTCGTCTTTCCTTGAATTGTTCCTGGCTGCAACCATTGTCAATTTCGGCGCAAGTATATGTTAGATATGGATGGATATATATACATATATGTACACAATTTGTAACACAAACAAATTTGGTCCCAACTACATAATAATGCATCCGTAATGTCCAATTTTGGTTGCTAAAAATATAATAACCACATCATTTCTGCAACAACAATTATAAATGGTCCAAATTATTTTGGCCCTTACTTTTGGTCTCTAAATTCTTAATTTCTTGTGAGTACAAACTGAAATCTGCACAGGCGCAAGCTATGAGTTCAAAATATGTAATGCAGAATTGTGCAAAAATATTGTCACACGTTTCTGACGAGAGGGATTTGTACTGTGAGCCGCTTTGAAGGACACGGATCGAACCTGTAAAAAATAAATGGCCCAACTGGCCGCTTTCGATGAGGGGGCTCGGTAATGTCAACCTTTTCCACTTGCCTTCAATGTTTTCCTTTGCCTGTAACAAATATCAGCGTAAATGAAATTTTGTTCAAGGCCAAATTACATTGGTGGTATATACGTTTTGTGCATTCTATCATCTTCGTCGGTTAACTATAAAGTTAGTCAATCTTGCCTTCCCATTTCAAAAGTTGTGCCATTTTCGTGAAATTGGTAACGTCGTTTTCCGTTGTCACCGAAAATGATAAACTGAAGTGGTTTAGTATAACTCAGTGAATTATGGATTTCACAAATTCTCTCCGCAGAATACGCGACATGTGCCGTATGTGCACATATTCTGGTAAGAAATCGACATAGTTTTAATCCATTACACGAAATTCATGGTGCAATTTGAGGGTATCGCAAATGTGTCAAACTTAAATCACACAACCTCCTGATGGCAGTACATAACGGCACAATATGCCATACACGAATAGACCTTGGTATTTAGTAGGTACAGGAAACATAACCTTGCAAACCTAACTGTATCAAATACTGAACGACATAAACTCACAGTTGCTTCGCATTGTCTGACATGTCGCCCATATCCAATTACGATAATTCCTGCAAAGAATTTCATGCAATATTCATAAGGATGGAGAAAGAACGTTACTCCCAAATTGTAACAAAACGAAATTGACTGTTAACAACGTACAATCAACGGACCATTGAGTCGTACGTGCATTGTACGAGTGGTACGTTTCGTTTATTTTC